CCGCGCGGAAGCAACATACACGACTTCCTGGATCACGTCACAATTAAGGATGGCGGCAGTGATTGTGTGGACCGATGAGTTGAGGACGGTGTTTTTCTTTAAAAAGCAGTGGAGTAAGCAGAGAGGACCAGGATGTTGGTGAGGTATGACTACATCACACACACACACACCTGCTTAAACTTTTTTTTTTTTACTTGACCAAATGATGAACTATGAGGAAAATCCAGTAAATCGTCATTTCCACCTCTTCTTCAGTCAAAAACACGGACGAGTTTTTTTTTCTCTCACTTGCTTCTCAGGGCTTCCGAACTTCAGGGACCAGATGAGCGACATTCACTGCACATTGTGGTTTTTTAAAACTTCAGATAAATGATAATCTCAACACTTTACACATATGATTGCATGAACTTTCTTTTTGTCTTTTTTGGCACCATGCAAGCAAACAGGATGATCCCGACACTGACACAAGCGGGCAACCCATTAGAGGGTGTCAGGGAGTCCCAGCAGGGCCGAGGTTGATTCAGCGTGAGTGAACGACATACTGGGACATTCCGCATCCCACCTGCTGTCCCTAGTAACAGCAGACAGGGAGAACGATGGTGGTACGCTCCGAGTCTCAGAAGGACGGGGGAAAGGAAGGGAAAACAACCGATGCAACGGATGGAGCGAAAGTTGTGGTTCGGTATGTAACTCGGTATAACTCGAAGGATGGGGGAGGTGGAGAAGGATGAGCGCCTGCGAAGGAAAAGGGGGGGGGCTCGGTGCGATGGAGACGGGAAGGGAGATGCGTTGCTAATTAGCGATTGGTCGAGCTTGGTCGCCTCTGTGAGTCCTGTGCGGGGGACACGCTGCTGCACGGGGACGCAGAAAACTCCAGGCCACGACCACTTCTCCCCGGCAACAGCAGCTAATGATGCTCCCCCCCCCCCCCACACACACACTTACACACACACTTTCTCTCTGGGCGTAGCTGACTCCTGCTTTGTGCTGACACATGGGCTGAAAGGGAGCGTTTCTGCTGCAGCCTCCTTAAAATTGCGGGCATGCCTTCTGTACTCCTCCACGAAGGTATTGGTATTCTGGGAAAGTACATTATGCCATTGTGCTATTAAGAAAAAGCCATTTCTGTTTGTTCGGTCGGGTAATCTTTCAGATCTCTGTGAAGTATTGGTGCCGCACATGAAAAGCAAACACCTGCCAGAACATCTTTTTCTTTCTTGGATCTCCATTAGCAAAATAGAGCCGATTTTCTGTTGTGCATTTCCTTTCTCTCTCTCTAATCTCCTGGCTGTTTGTAATCCCGTTTCCCCATCATGCCATTACCATTGAATCTCAGGACATTTGTGGGACGTTCTGCTCTCCGATGTGAAACCCCTGCATCCCGAGTGCTATTAAGCTTCAAAAATGTCTCCTTAAGACGCCGTAAAAGTCTGGAGAACTCTGCTGTGGCGACACACACACACACACACACACACACACACACACACACTATCTGAAAACTGGTAAAGTCACTTGAAGCGACTCAGAAACAGGACACATTGAGCTCATGAGATGCGTGATGTGGGGGAGACTTGTTCGTGGGGACAAGACCTCAAACCACAGCCTGAGGACAAGCAGATGTTGAGTGGCAGATGAGATGAAGAGAAATAAGGCGGGTGTTGATTTGATTGGACAATAAACAGCCGATTCTTCATTGAGAGACACTTTGAACGAGACACTTGGCCCTTGACCCCCGTAAATAAGCAGGTATTAACACCAAACTGAGGGCGGAGAAAACGTGGGAATGGTTTTAACAGGTTTTTATAGTGTGTCTTTTGTGCGTCTTCAAGTGGACAGGTGGCCTGTTAAGTGCGGCTTGAACAGTGGACACAGTGAAGACTGCTCCCTCTTTAGCACCGCAGGGGAGCTTCCATATTGTGCAGCATTTCTTCAGCACAACTGACTCCAACAAGCTCTTCCATGTGCTTTTAAAGAAAAAAAACAAAAACTAACTGGAACTATCACACGGGTTTATTTGGATTTATGAAATCCATCCTTTATGAAGCCTCGTTGAAAGGCACTCGATGCCAAATGTGATTGTTGGTTACAAAGATGCCTCGCGAGGAGGCTCAGCTTGCCTTTACGATCCACAACAAGCCACCGCGGCCCGAATCGCAGCGCAGCGCCGGAGATTAGAATGAGTGGTATGAAAACGAGCGCTCGAGTACAGAAGTCGCTGAACAAAGAGCTCCCTCTTTCTCTAAAGAAAGGGGTCTTTCTAGGGACACTGGAGTGGATCCTATTGCCCCGGAGGGAGACAAATTGGGCCCGTCAAGCCTCATTGCGAGAGTGACTGAAATTGGTTTGTGGTTCTGCTTCCGCACCATCCAATAAAGAGAAGAAACCTCAGAGAGAGAGAAAGAGAGAGTAATGGGGGAGTCTGGAGTGAGGGGGGCGGGGGGGATAAAAGACAAAAGAACACCGCTCCGCCACTGCACATATATAGTGGCCGGGGAGCAAAGAAGAGAGCGGCTTCTCTTTAACGCCGGCGGCCCCCCCATGGGGCGGGTGGGGTGTGTGTGTGTGGGGAGGGGAGGGGGGTTTGAGGGGGGGCAGCCGAGCAGACACACACACACACACACACACACACACAAAGGCCGCTGTAATGGGGGGCGGAAATGCCCGTTGTCCCAAAAGCTATGTCTTCAGGGGTGCAATCCTCAGAGGTGAAATCATTGAAAACCTCCCACAGCTCCGGGACGGGGAGACCGGATGAGATGTGACGGGGGCTGTTTGTGCAACAAATTGGGACAAGCAAGCAACTGACACTCAGCGGCGGCCGAGGAAGGAGCCGCCATCAGTGCCTTGTTATGGCTGCTGAGGAGCCTGGTTAGCGGCCGCGATTGAATTCTGCGGCATTTCTTCGCTGCAAGTGAGTCTCTGCTGGTTGCGTTGTCGAGCTCGTGGTGATGACGAGACTGCGGTTAATTACTGCGCCCGCCCACTAACGCCCTGCGGAACCAGGAGGTGGCGCTTTTGCACTGCGTTTCTTCTGTACGCGTCGAGAAAACACGAAACAAGGTTGTGATTACGGAGCTTTGGAGGTGCTGGTGGGTGGATTGTGTCTCCTCTGGGCAGAGCCAGGCTAGCGGTTCGCCCCTGGTTCCATCCTTTGTGCTAAGCTAAGCTAACCGGCTGCTGGCGGTAGCTCATATTTACCGTACAGACGAGAGTGAAATTGTACTTCTCATCTAACCCTCGGGAAGAAGGCGATAAAGATAATTCTTTAAAAAAGTCATTTTCTTATTAAATGAGTGAATGACTCTAACAAGTATCTATGCGTGTTTTAAATAAGCTCTGTTAAGACCATCAAGTGCCATAAAGTTGATGCAATCATTGCTAAAGACTCAAACTACTCACCTGACGTCCAATATGCAGCCAACACCACTCATCTGGTATGGGCAGGGAAACACGCACAAAAGTCACCTGTGATTACAGAAGATTGACAGGGAGATCAACACTGAAGCTCGCTTTGCACGAGGAATGGTCGAGTTAGCTACAGCTCAATTAAAGACGTTAAGAGACTGAGGCCAAAAATCACTAAAAGGGACGAAGCTGGAAGCCATGTGTCGACAACCACGGAGCTTTCCACAATCTGTTTTCTAACATTTTTCCCTGCAGCATCTGTGAGAGTGAGAGAGAGAGAGATAGAGAGAGAGAGAGAGATAGAGAGAGAGAGAGAGAGAGGCGGAATGCAACAACAATGTGCGAAAGCATTTTAGAACTGATGTGTGACATACTCTGAAAAATACGAGACCAGCAGATGAAGAGAAAGGACTTTTGGTAGGACTGCCACTGGTTGCTTCACACTTTAAATACTGTTTGATGTGTGACTCTACACTGTAAGTGTTTGTATTCTGAGGTTTGTGTGTGTGTGTGTGTGTGCGTGTGTGTGTGAGACAACCATGGAAAACTAGCTTAAACCGGGTGAAAAAGAAGACGTTAAGAAGGATAGAAAGGACTGGTCCGGCCATCAAGGTCAAATAAAAAACAACAGCAACATCAACAACAACAACAACAATATCAACATTAGCATCATCATCAACAACAACAACATCAACAACAACAAAATCAAACTGAGAAATGGAAAACAAAAGAAAGGAAAGAAAAAGTAAAAACAAAACTCTGGTTCAGAGTGTCTCTTCATCTTTGGTATAAAAATGGCCGTCCATGGGCTGCATTTGATCCACAACTAGGAAAGACTACAGAAATTGTCAACAATTTCCTCTATTGCTTTTGCACTGATTGGTTTAAACCGTAAGCTCCTACCGAATCTACTGTTTTTAATTCACTGCCAGAATTTTTTCCATATTTTTTTTTTAGTATTTTAGTATTTTATAGTTTTTTTCCCCATATTTCTTCCTCCTCCTTTTTGCAGTGTGACAAGCAAAGCGGGCTAAAAACATCTTTAAGCTCATAAAAAAGGTCAAATGTGGCAGATAAAAAGCACTAATGTCATTGACAGCAACTTTGCCATGTAAAATAATAATAATGATAATAAAAAACAAGTTCAGCATTTGCAACATACCGCATCCACAATGCAGCACGTTTTCTTATGTTTTCATTTTTTCCTCAATGTGAAAAATCTCTTCAAAGCTTCCCTCTACCCCCCCATCTACCCCCCACACACACCCACAAGTCCTTTTCCCCAACAGACATTTTGTTTTCTTCTGACACTTAGTTACCTCTGACATAATAATTATCAAAGTTTTCTTCTAATGAAGAAAAGAAAAAAGCTCTTCTCTATTAAATCTGTACAGCTTATGTGATAGATTCTTTTTTCCTCTTGAGAGCAACTCCTCCAGTGTCTTGAACCATCCAAGTGGTCCAAGAGACTGATTTTGTTTGCTTATTCCTTTTTTTTTTCTAACCAGACGTCAGACTTAAACTCTGTAAAAAGTTTCTGCCGCCCTTCAAATTAAGGCCATGAAGATTCAAGAAAGAAAAAAAAAAACACTTTGTTTTTGAATATATCTAGAAAAGTAAAATGTAACACTAGAACATAAAAAAGAGTGAAAAGAAATTGTAGCTTAATATCTGAGGAAGACAATCTCTGTGTGTATCTCAAACTTGACTCCCGTTTTCTAATTACAAAATAAACTTCATCGCCTACTTGCGCATTCAACCTTTTTTTTTTTTCTTTCTTTTTTTTTATTTTATTGGTTGAGAATTTTCTTTGAGAAACTTTTCAAGCTTCAGCCCGGCTCTTCCGGCAGGTTCCCATACTAAACAATTCCACCTCTTTGCACTGTGCCCAGCAATTTTCCCTCACCCACTTCCACTGCCCTCTTTGCCTCCTTCTCCCCCTTTTTTTTGTTGTCTTTTTTTCTCGTAGGCCAGGTAGGAAATGAAAAAAAGTGTCTTTTTTTTGGTGCCTGGGCAATCTGGAAGCAATCTCTTTCTTTTTCTCTTTTCCTCACAAACACAGTGCAGCCACCTTCTGTCTCAAGGCATCGCTGTCACAGGAACATTCGCTCAGGCCGTTGCTATCTGAAGAAAGAGGAGAAAACAGAGAGGGAGAGAGAGGGAGAGAGGGTTGTGTCGTTGTAATCAAAGACCAATATCACAAACACAGAATCTGACAGGCTGACGGCCCCGTGGGGCAAAAAGAAGCACGTTAACCGGCTCTGATCGGCTCACGAAAGCAGAAAGTGCTGCCGAAATGACGAGCAAATGACAACAGCAGCCAGGAATAATTTGAGTCATCTACACTGGCACCACTGCGCTTCTTAGTGCTCTCAATTTATTTAGATCAGCATTTCGTAGGGCTTTGCTCCACTACAATCTGTCAAAAAGAAATGACTCGCGACTCGACTGCTCCATAAATATTTTTTAGGATTACCAAATAACTGACAGGCAGACAGGAAGCCCGTCTCTACCGGCGGGACTTTGACGTGTTGGAGACAGAATGTATCTGTACGAAAGAGGAGGGGCGAAATCTCTGACGACAAATATACATCGTTTTAATATGTTTTAATGCTTCGCTCAACAATCATCACAACTGAAGAAAGATTAATAATAAATAATAACTATTCATGTTATCATGTTGCAGTTCACATCCATATATGTCTACAACAACCTCGTTTGGAACCGTTACGATAAGCTTATTCATTTTAGTGCGTTTTCAGTGACCTTTGACCACCACAAACTAATCCGTTCATCTCAGTCACTGTGCCGAGCTTAGAATTCCCCTCTGGTTGCCCCCCCCCCCCCTCCCTAAGTATAGGAACGGGCGCCCTGAGAACAATGCCTGCAAACTACCCTGAAAGGAGAGAACGCCACGTGAAAACGGTTGACAGCAGCGGTCCGGCTCCACTGTTTGACTCACTTGGACTGGTATGAGTAAGCAGGAACGTGGTCGCCAGCACTGTCCACCTGGATCTGTTGCTGCTGGCCAGCCACCTCCTGTGACGAGGGAGCCACTGTCTGGGGGGAGGCGTCCGTCACCACTCCCTGAGGACACGGCACGGCAGGAGATGTGTCAGCTCTCAACTATAACAAGGGTCTCCCCGCAAAGCTCGCCACTTCCTGCTGAAGAGTACGGGCCTGGAACCACTACTGCTGCTACTCTGCACGCGTGACACTGCATGTCCCTCAGTCCTGCACTGCGAAAGGAGCTTTTTCTTATTTGAATCAAGGACCAAACAGCCCTTTTCCAACTAACTTGCGTATTTTGGATATACAAATAATAAATGATCTAATTATGAGACCTCTGACCTCACACTGTAGATAAGCCAAGTGCCTATCAGAGACGCATGCAGAATCACGTCTTCCCTTTATGCCCCGTTGACGTGCAGCCGCAAGAAAAGCTGTTTGGAGGTTTAACACAACACTTAAGTTTGCTACAGCAATTAAGCACATTTACATTAAGTATAAATATTGGGAGCACTGTGAAATACACCTTTAACAACAGAGGAAAATTCCCATTACTGTGATTTGACACAGGGATTACTGTGTGGGAGTTGAATATGTACGACAACAAAAAACAGCTGTGCTAAATTGCTCGCGGACTTCCAACATCTTTGTTAGCGGTGAAAAAGATGCCTCCAAGCCTTTTTATGTGTGTCCAGCATTCCCCGTAGACACCCCCCCCCCCACACACCTCCCACCACATCTTTGAGTCATCTCAATCTCCTTTAACAAGCTCTCAAGGATACCGCGTCCTCTCCATACATCAGCCCTCCAGACACGGGCTGATGATGCAGTGATGTGCACCTCACCGCCGACGCTGCACAGACGCCGGAGCTCAGGATGAAATGTGCACGAGGCGCCACGGGCTACGCTGCAACTACATTTCTCTCCTCCGCCCGACTCCCTGGTGAGGAACTTTCAGAGGGCGGTACGGCTCGGGAGGGGAGGGGGGGTTATGAGAGAGGACGGGAGGGGGAGGGACTAATGGGTCTGTCAGGGGAAACTGTCATTGTCCGTGGTTGGTGGGTTAAGCCGGGAGCTGGTGCTGACGGATGGGCGTGTGTCCCATCCACCCGGCAGCCCGGACCGGCTGTGGAGATGGTTCAGGGGGGGGGGGGGGCAGCACCGCCGGCACTGTGTCTCACTTCAGCTCCTGTCATCCGATACACGACGGATCGTCCATCTGAACGCGGCCGCACTGTCAGCCGGCAGACAGCCGTCCCGCGCTCTCCCCGGCGCCCGCCTGCTTCCCGCGCTCATCATTTCTCAGGCTGGACCGCTCCGAAAACTGCCAGCAGCTCAGACAGCCGCCGAGGAAGTGACAAACCCCGCGCTGCACTTCAAACGCCTTTCCCAAAACGCTGTAAAACTTTTGACTCGTCTTGCCTCGTTTGCAGTTTTGCACCCTGCTTATTTCGACGCCATTTGTTCAGCGAGCGATAGACGGCAAATGCAATCAGTCTGCTTAATGATTGTTTTGTTCTGGTGTTGTGCCGGGCAGCTTTCGCAATTTTGAAGTGAGCGCTTGTCGGTGTAAGCGAGTGGGCTGTGCCGCGTAGAGATGTTTCCGGTTTTGACGGTCTAGCGGGTACCGTGTGCGGGACTTACTTCGACAGGGACGGCTGTAGGAGGCACAGGAGTGTACTGGGGAATGTAGGTCCCTTGCATAGGCGCCCCAGCAGCTGCAGCAGTCATGTACTGAAACACAAATACGAGACAAATGCATATAAAAAACCCTCCGCGCGCACAAACACACACCCATCACAACACATTATTACATGTTAACGGCACGCTCGTTTCTGAGTAATCAAAATAGGAAAAGAGGTTTCAGATATCTAACATCAAAATTCCTGAAAAGTCTCTTTTAGTGCAATTACTTCGCAGAAACCAGTGGGTGCTGTGCTCTCCGCCGCCTTCGGAGGGCGCTAAAAGAATATGTGTGCACTCCGTGTGAACACAGATGAGCCGAGCAGAGCAGAAGAGAGTATGTGAGGTGGACGGCGGGGAGGGAGGTGCAAGAAATGTCCAGCTGCTCCACCAAAGACTTCAGAGAAGAAGATAAAAACAATGGTACAACCGAGGAGCACGAAAGAGAGACAGACAGACACACAGAGAGAGAGAGGGCCTCTCATCCTTTAGACACGCCTGCCCTGACTTCTTACTGGCTGCTAGCTCACTCCATGATGGCCATTTTACAGACGTGACACACGTTCCGTTACATGACAGCCAGGGGGCTTTCTCATGCAATATGAATGAGGACGCGGCACTTTGCGGGAGGCTTTTCTCCTTTTTCGTGTACGTGTGCCTGTGTGTGTGAGTCAAACGTGCACGCCTGTGTCAGCCTGACTTGCCAGCGTGCGTGTGTGTGTGTGAGTGTGTGTGTGCTTATTTTTAATTAGTAAATCCCTGTGCATAGAAGATGACTTATTGTCTGTCCAAGTGTGCATGTGGATGAACAAGTTGTGCAGCTGGGTTTTGGGAACATACATGCATGTGTGTGTGTGTGTGTGTGTGTGTGCGGCTGAGATAGACAAAGATAAAGAGGCTTGGAATGATAATGCTGCAGTACAGCGCCAACGGATGTGATCTCAGATAAAAGCCTCTCCTCGTCTTCCTGCTACTTTTCCGGTCCAGGGGAAAAAAAAGAAAAAGGAAAGCACGATCTTTTTTCTGTCTTATTTTCCTTTCTCCTCTCAGTCCCCCTGCCAGCGGTAAAAAAAAAAAAAAAAAAAAGCGTGGCGGCAGCATGCAGCGGTAATGGAGGAGCTGTGCCGGGGCTGCGCAGCCCGCCTTGGCCGCGGGCCCGGCGGTGCCGGTGAAGTGTCATTACCGGCGGCGTTGCTAATGGATCGGGTACGGCTCCACCGCTCACCCCTAATGAGAGCAGCTAAAGGCCATGGACATGGGTGATTAACTCCCCCACCGACGCCACACAGGGCCGGGAGGATGCCCCGCCATGAATGTGAGCGTGCGCTTGCGTCTGAGTTTGGGGCGCCGCCGCGGGTGCGCGTGCGAACTTAAGGTTATCACACCTTCGGGGCTGTCACACCCAGGACGGGGTGAGGCGGCGCGTCCACACTTCCTGACACATTACCACATTACCTCTCCGTGTCATCCCCTCTTCCCTCTCACCTTTCTGTCACTCCCTCTCCCCCCCCCCTCCCTCTCTCTCAACCTGCTATTGTCTAAATCGGGTTGTTCAAGTGACCTTCTCCCTGGTGAATGCATACCATGCATACCAATTCCCTGCAGCACTTTTAGTCTTTGCCTCTACTTCCCATTAACTTATTCAGCCGACTCACCTGTGAGGCCTGCGCGAGAGCAAATGAAAGGATAATTAGCATTATCGAAACCTCCCTGTCAAAGGCACAGTGTCCATCTGAAATGTTATATTTCTCTGCAGGACTGCCAAAGGAATTTAAATTAGCCTTCCACCATAACCATTAGTTAACCTATCTAATGTGGCAGGTTGAGCAGGGCATGCTGTCGGAGCCGCTGTGGTCTCAAGTCAGGGGGACGTCGAGCATGGCTTCAGTGAATTGGGTTGCTATGGCAATAAAGATGATTTTTGTCCAATTTCAACACTTTTAATAGTTCTCTGTCCATAGTCAGGGAACAGGTTTGGTCGATATGAAGTATCCCTAATTGGCCATAAATGATGTTTCACACTCAGTCACGTACACCCGTGCAGAAACACACACACACACACACACACCTGGAGCAGATGGCCTGTGCGTATGTTTGATGAACGGGAGGCCTGAATAGTTCCTTAACGAGGCTGATGTGAGCAGACTCCTTAAGTCTCTTGTGCCATCACTCTCATGCATCTATAAGCACTGTATAAAGTCAATGTAATGTGTGTGTGTACCTCACTATTGAGTTTGGGCCCTGTGCACCGAATAAGATCGTCTACTTTCAGCCGCTGCTTGAAGAAGAACAATCTATGAGTCAGGAAATTGTACTTTTGGTGGAGGTGGAATGTAGCAAACTCCATTAGCATGTTTGAATGACTCATCTGCCTCTGTCTTTATCCCTCCATCACATCCATCCCCTGCGTTGACGCGCTGTTAGAGGATAACAGTTGGTCAAGGCACGAGCATCTGGCTACTCAGTGCGGGTTATTAATGGCGGAGCGGCGTGGAGATGGGCTGTGATGACTATTGATCTTCGCTGTGAGGCTCCATCACAATGGAGCTGCACACCGGCGGCTGTGAATCACGGTGCTGTGCCACTTTACGGTGAAAAGGCCTCCATATCTTGGCCCCCGGGCTTTGTTAACGCTTCCATCGAGGAGATTTATACTGGCGAAATCTGTCTGTTTTTGTTTGTCTCACGCATGCACGGAGGGACGCAAACGCTCACTGAAATTGCGCAATAATTGTTTTGGCTGGACAAGATTGACTGAAATATTCCATAAAATCTAAAATAAATCAATCAAATTTGACACAAGAAGAAGACTAAATAACAATAAAACAACAAAATGAATTTTTGTTGAAAAAAATTGAAATTAAAAAAAAAAGGGGGAATGTCATATTATCACTTTTCACTAAAACTGGACATAAATCTTTTGAGGTGTCATAGACTAAAATTATACGTCAATGACTTGAAATAGACATTTTAGCATTTTAGTCTAAAGACTAAATCTAAAAAAGATGCCAAAATGAAAATTGATGATCAGCGCTGCCTAGTTTGACAGTTTCACAATCAGAGTTCATAATCTTCACAAACTGTTTGGTTGTTTTCCTGAAGCTCAAATCTGCCAGGTGTTTTCAGTCGTGTGCTACAGTCAGGATACAGTTTGACCAAATATGACAGAAAGTCATTCTTACAGTAACCAACTTGCTGTAAAATACCCAAATTATGTCGCCAACAGTAAACATAAACTTAATAAACCGCTGTTCTTTATGATCAGGACACAGTTTAAGGCTACGATCTGCCTGGACTGCGTCTGGTTGAGTCTGGTTCTTTGCAGCAAGCTCATGCATTTTATGCAAATATAAAATGGGAACATATACAAAAGTTTAGCACGAACATCAAATTCAGAACGTTAAAATTTATTCAAGAGCGCCACAACTCTGGCACCATAGTTATTGGCTGCGAGCCCTTAAACACATTCAAAGCACATTGTAAACTTGAAAAATGCCATAAAAAAAAAGGTCTCTCCCTGCACAATTACCTTCAAGGTCCTACGAGGAGCTAACAGCTCAGTGGTACTGGGACTCACGTGGACGTCAAGGTGTGTTACTGTTTGGCTGCGGATCTACAAACGAAGGGTCGGCACGCTCGCTCGACTCGGCTGTGTAAAGTTTAAACAAAACCATGCACGGTTATGGAAATGTAGAATAACATGCTGTACTTAGACTCCCCCCCCCCGCAGAAAACCAAGGAAAACGGCCCGGATAATAGAGGGAAGCGCTTCACACAAATCTGTCTTGCAGGGACACAGAAGCTGTCAATCACCACTGTCACCGTGACAACAGAGACCTGGGTTCTCCATGCCATGACGGAAAGAGGATGGAGAACACAGAAGGAAGGTCACCTCTTGTCATGTCAGACACTATGTCGCTCACACAATAACGCAGACACTGACGTGCGTACACACACACACACACACAATAGAGCACGCGCACAACAACTCGTGCACAACATCTAACAGGCACGAGCAAAAACAAAGCATGACGGATAGACTCCTGCTAAGTGGTTAGGGCGAAGAGACAGTAAATAAATCAGTCAGCGAGCGATATGCACCAAACATGGTGGAATAAATCTGTGAGGAGCACGGATGGCATGTTGATGTGTGCCATCTATAAACAGTGAGCCTGAGGTTCTCTAGCATCCTGTAATCAAGTTGTTCAAGATAGACAGACACCAAAGTGAGCCGGGAGACTGTGGAGATGTTGAAAACAGAATCATTTTCTGGCAGCGCGACGTGATTCCGAATCGGTGACCATCGGCCGACCCAGCTTGTTAAATAGGCCAAACCCCGCGTGCCGATCCTTGCTGCAGAACAACATGGCGTTTCCTCGGAAAGCTACGGTCACCACACCAGTGTCGCAGCTTGGGCGGACCGGGAACATTTGGTTCTTTTCTTGCAGAGGAGGAGAGAAGCCGCAGCCACACACAAGCAGCCGCAGAGAGTCCTGGAACAGCCAAGAGTATTCTGAGGAGTGGCGGAAGCCGGGATGGGTTGTTGACTCTGGAGACACTACTCATGGTAGGTGTGCGTCACAGAAGGCGACGCTTGAGTCCCGTGACTACTTGGTGGTGGTCATAAGCCCAACACCATGCACAGGAATGTGCTTTATGAGTATGTGGTGTCCAGTCCACTTTACTGCGTGGATAGTTACAGACACTGGTTCCTGACTCTTCCTTTAACAGGCATTATGGAAGGGCTTTCATCTGGCCTGAGAGTGAGCTTCATAGAAAACACGTCTCAATTTCTACTGATGATCACGTGTGGCGTGCCGTGTGTGCATCCCGGCAATAAAGAAGTGATGCTGAACAGAACATCGCCTCGGGAGAGCTCACAAGGCAGAAAGGGGAGACTAAAACTGAATTATTATTTCTTTTAAAGGGAGAGAGAGAGAGAGAGAGAGAGAGAGAGAGTGTGGCGTAACCCACTTTCTCCTATATCACAACCCATCAAACATCAGAAGCCATCATCATAGATTAGTCTGTCTCTAATCCTGGCTGTTAGCACAGCTGGGGCCGATTAGGGAGGGGGAGCCAACATGGCGTCACAGTCGCTGACAGCTCACCTGGAAACACATGGATAACTGTACAATACAGCACTGTTTCAATCACACACACACACACACACAGATCAAACGTAGTGCCGGAGCAAAGCTGTCTGCTTGCCTGCCCCCAGGCAGCAGGGTTAGGGCAGGAAGTCGGGCTTCAGAACTGTGCAACACCTCTAAGGCGACTTGATCCTGATACAGGGGGGAGTTCCTGGTTTAGGGGGCAGCGACTGTAAGCCAGTGTGTGTGTGTGTGTGTGTGTGTGTGTGTGTGTGTGATGAATGTGATGCGTGATCCAGAGAGTGAGTGAGACGGAACGTGTGAGAACGAAGCAGAAATTAGAGGTAGAGAGTGAGGAAGGTGGACAAAAGAGGACCCTGTCACACCATTCACTTTGCAGGAAATCTGCTTAATGTGGAAGACTCTCAATGTCTGGCAGCGGACGCTTGCAGTATGAGCCAAATGAAGGCAGAGCACATGTGGCGACAGCCTAAGAGGGTTTGGCTTTCTTGAAAGGAAATGTAAAATCCATCTCTCACTCAATGTGTATTTTGTCTTAGACCCGAATGAATAACGTTCCCCTCCACTTGATCATTCTGACCCCAACCTTGTGTAATGGACACCTGGTGATTTCTCTCTCAGCGTATAACTTTCTGTCTCAAAGAGCAGATGTTGACTTTCACATGTTTTTCATTGCTCCACTGGCATGCTGCAAAGAAATAGCAGCGAAACCGCTAGCCACAAATCCATTTTAAGAGCAGCTTTCAGTGGATCGATTCGTAGTGTTAGAGCATTTTTAGGTAATGCCGTGTACTTACTGATCTATTGACGCCTAAAATGCTGGAACCGTGTACATGCACATTTCCAGCATTTATTTGGTGTCATCAATCGAGCAAATAACACGTTACGACAATTTTTTTTAATACATTTCCCCTCATGTCAGGAGAGAAACAAAGTATTACCGGCGAAAGACCAACTCAAGTTTTAGAGGAGGTACAAGTAGTAAAAACTACACACAAGTATAAAAGACAAAAATATAGCGCAACAGTTAAGTAGCAGTTCAGTCAGCCTCAGCTACGATGTAATAGGCACCATTGTTAGCAATAAACTGAACACAGTAAACTAAATTAACCAATCAGCAATCGCTTAACAACCGCATTAATGAAAGCCAAGTATCGTTGGAAAAAATTGTAAATATACACATTGAAAAAAACGTCAGCGCTGAGTTTCTGAACTTGCAGGTTCTCTTGACGGTATCCTGGCAACAAAGAGATCCTTGTGTGTTTGTGTTTTGGCACGTGCGTGGCTCGTTTTGCCGCAGCGAGGTGTACTCACACTTCCTGTAGTGCCCAGGGACAGGTGGTTCATCTGCTGGGCCAGAGGGCCCATCATGCTGGCAGGCTGCATGGACATAGTGTGGTCCATGGCTGGAGTGATCACTGCACCCTGGTGGAGACGAGAGAAAAGACGAAGAATCGGTGACGATTGTGGATGTCCTTTATTCTGGTGACCTTCCACAGAGGCGTTAACGGCCCTCTGTGAGTGCACATAAAAAATACGTTAATAATTGTGATATGCAACAGGATGGGGCCATGCAGGAAGTCTGGGTTGGAAAGGATACGATGAGAAAGAAAGGCAGCAGGGGCACAGGAAGGATCTTCAAAAACATAGAAGCAATAAAAACAGGGAGGGAGAAGGGAGGTTCAGGCGGGGTTGATTCGAGGACACACGCAGCCAGAGAGGAAGAACAGAAGAGGGGACGTCGTCGATAAACAGCAGCAGAACACGGGGACATTTTTCAAGATCAATACACAATATTGTCTTTCGGTCCATAAAAATAGTCACTATGTGCTGCGGATGCATCAACGATATGGGTTTCAGCGGTGCATTGATTGAGGAGAAAGTATGCCTCCTCTCCGCCGCCGCCCTGCCGCCTCCCCTCACTCTCGGGCCTCCCCTCCTCTCGTTTTAATGCACCGCGTGTTTTCCCTAACAGGCGGACGAGAACGCTAGGAGCTTCTTCTTTTTTTCCGCGGTGCAGTGGAACACGGGGGAAAGTGATGAAACCATTGTCGCACTTTCATCCCTCGTCGTGATGGCTCCATTTTCCCGGCACCGACGCCTCGCCTCGGGAGGAGCGCGTTGAAAACGGAGCCCTCTCCCTGCGCCCGGCTTCCTCTCCTCTCACTCTGTGTGTGTGTGAGTGTGTGTGTGTGCGTGTTTGCAGCTAAGCCTGCAGCTCACTGTGCGTAACACCATTAGTGCACGAGTGTGAGACTGACTGGTGTCTGCGTGTGTGGGCGTGTGCAGCTCTGGTAGCGTGTGCGTGTGTGTGTGCGTGTGCGCACCCACCGGTGACTCTGTGTGGGCCTATTGGAGAACAAACTGTGCAGACACAGCCTGTCAGAGCCGCTCTGCTTGTCTACTCCCTGCATTCACAACACAGTCAGCCAACTCTCGCTCGGCGGCTGCCCCCTCCCTCATGTTCTCCCTCTACCACTCAATATGCTGGCTTCATGTGATCATTCCCTTAGTTTCACCTCAGCATATCAAGAAAGAGGATGCGTGAATGCTGTCAGTCAGTACTAGAAGGAGCACTAATATTGCAGCAATCGCGTGTCACAGTATGACTAAGTGGACATTTGCACATAACCAAGTTAAAACCGTTTCCTCCACACAGACAAGGGCAGTTGGGTGGGGGCTCAGTTTAGTCTCTGAGGCTTTATATAGCCGCCCTATCGTACTGTTGAATGTCGGAGCTGAATGAAACCTGAGAAGAAAACTGCAAAACTACTCAGAGCTGGAAAAAGCACTGTCTCATTTCTGTTTTGTTCCATTGTCCATTTATGAGAATGATAACAGTAGTAAAATAAAAGTTGAGACTATTACAAAATATTCACTGTTATGCTATGTATCAGTGTGCAGGCTTGCTAACATGGCGAAACATGACATTGGTCTATTTATCTGACCCGACACGTGATAACATTAATTTAAAGGAATTACCAAAATAATTAATGAGAAGACATTTCTTGGGTTTTAACGGTTCTGCCTGATTTAGTGAATGACGCTTTGGAACCAGCTTGTAACAACCATTTTCTGATGCTCCAGTAATACTCCAAGTTACCGGGTGGTTTAACTGATTATCTTGTGTGTCTTTGTGTGAGAAATCTGAACCTAAGTAACTAATGCAGGTAACTCAATATTTCTCCCCCACAAAAAACAACCAGTAGTTCCCTGCGTTCACCACCGTGATAGACAGGCCAAGTAAAGGAGAGGGGAAACGAGTAAACAGGAAGAAAGAGAGAGAGCGTGAGGAGAGGGGAAGGATGATTAAGGACAGAGCTGATGGAGGTCACGAGGAAGACGAGGCCAGAAGAGACGGGCGGGGAGACGGAGGACAGGGGATTGGAGAGAAAGGCGAAGGGACACGGAGGGGGAGAACCAGAGACAACAAAGAAAGATAAAGCGGAAGAGAGGAGGCGGGGAGGAGAGAAGGAAAGAGTGAGAGAGGAGCGAGGGGGAAGCAGTAGGAGCTGTGGGCTACCTGTTACCGACTTGGACAATGCCTTTATAATGGGAAAGGGAGGGCAACGGAAGGGCTTAATTCACAGACGTGTCAGGGAGAGTTAAGCCGATTTGTGATTTCGATTTTCTGTGTTTGTCAGACTGAGTGTCTGTGGGAGAGAGTGTTTTTAGTGTGTGTGTGTGTGTGTGTCTTTCCACAAACCGACTCGAGAGGAGAGAAAATGAGAAGACTGACACAGATGGAACAATAAATGTTTGGGATTTGAGACAGAGAGAGGTAGCTAACGAATGCACCTCAAATGTCCGACGCGATGTTCACAGATCTTCCACATGCATGCACTATTTTGGGGCGTGCGAGGGAAAAATCCATCTTGCTCGAGATGGTATTGATCGTGCACAAGACAAGAGAAGGATGATATCAGCGCCCTGGTTGTTAAATACGAGGATATACACTCAGCGACCGGAGACAATGTACAGGAAATAAAAATGTCTTGTAAAAAAAAAAAAAAAAGCAGTGTTTTTTAACAAGCACTCATTACGAGTAAAGAGCAGCACTCAGACTGATGGAGCCCTGATCCGTATCAGCTGCTATTCATTGCTTTGTCTGTAGTTGCTGATCGGGAATAACAGCTTAAAAATGGGTAAAGCGATACATAAATGTCACACAGATAGAGTGTTTATACCGGCTGATCCATTAGGGTTAAGGGCCTCCAGCACGTGTCTAGCCCTCCACAGACTGAAGGCGCAGTCAGGTAAATGCAGCATGTTCCGAGTCATTGGGCTTAAGGAACTGAGTATTTGGCTTCCTGCTGCACAGAATCTAAGCCAATTTTGTGAACGCTGACATGAGAAATTGTCCTCTGTTTTGCAGCCATGTGACCGAAATTGATGTGAAATGGTCTTTTGTCATTTATCTGCTCTTTCAGGACGCCAGCGCCAGATGGAAGAGTGTTACAGAGTATTACAACATGTCACAAAGTAAATAGACTACAACCTTCACAGACCAGAAGAACAGCCATCAATCAATCAATGGAGTCACACTTGCACGTTCAAGTGTCCCTTGAAGAATAACTTTACAACAAAGCCAGGATTACCATTCATGATTATACTGGGTAACCGGAAAGAATGGGGCGACACCGGTGCGCGTAAAATGTGAGAGTTGGCAGGAAAAAAAAGATATTAAGAGCGGCGAACAATGCCGCGGCTGTGTCCCACTCAAACAAAGCATCACTGTTTGTCGTCCACCTGAAATAGGACCTGCACGTGACACATTCCTCTCGGGTTTTGACCCGTTGGTTTCTCCATGTGACGTCACGGCGGTTGGGACACCGATGCTGGAAGCGCGTGCTGCATCGGGGTGAACGTGACACGCGAGACCGCAAGGTGCTCACGGGGGTGCCGAGGCTCCGCCGCCGCCGCCGCAGGGTTCGAGTAATTCTGCCAAAGCTTCAGTACGGCGCAGACATTCCTCCGTATCGAGTGAAACGTGCACACACAGACGCAGCTCCTTATTGGTCTGGAGAGCCTGGTGTTGCCCAACATCTGCTGATGATTGACTGGTAACTTTATACGGTGCAGAATGCCAGGGAGCGCTGGTGCCTGCCCACCTGAAGGGGTGCATGCTGTGGGTATAAGCGAATCCTCAGAGGCCACACGAGGTACTGGACAGTGAGCCTATGTCGCTGCATTTTCATCCATATTGATATGTTCCTGCTCAATCTGAACACATACACACGTGATCTCACTGCCCGGGATGAACGTGAGAGAAGAGTCTGTTTATTCATGTGTCCGTCTGTCCTTTGGCTGCTCTGGCGTACTACTATCGCTAGGACATCATGTGGTGGCGGTTATTGGGGTTTTCCTTTCCTTTTCACTCCTCGCCTGCAAGTGATCGACAACTGCTTCAGTTTGGAATGTAGTTTGTAGTTGCTGCGGAAGTGGAGGGGGAGGCAGGAGACACCTGTGGGTTGCATCCATTCAATCAAACATTACAGAAGGCCGCGTTGTAGACACACCTGGCTGGGAGCTGCTTTCTGCTGAGTTCACCTTTTTAAAATCTTGTTTTGTGTTTGTGTTCTAATAAGCCCGGCGATATCCACCCCTTGACTTTTATTTCACCTGCCTCGACTGTGAGCACAGATTTCAGATATACCCTCAGGCACCTTTCTATTCAGGAGAGCCCAAAAAAAGGGAACCGGCATCCTGGGCCTTGCACTCTTAATCCACGGCATGAATCCCCGCTCGGGGCAAACCGACTGCCTTGGATTGCCCCCGTATTACCAGCACAGCCTGTCTACAAGACACAACGTGTCCAGGACCAAGCCAGGATGGTGAGCTGCTCATTCTACCCAACCGAAGTAGCGCAGAAACAGTAGTGCACATTGATGATAGAGGTGCAGATTGCGGCTTATTGAAGGATTCTCCTTTGATGATGACATTTTAATTTATTTTGTTTTGAAACAAAAGGCCTAAAAGACCCCACAACAACCCACAGGGAACGCGACTGTGAAAGAGAAGCAGCCGAGGGGCCACAGCAATGTATGTAAACAGATTAGCATGTGGAGCCAGATACCAATAAACAATTTCTCACCTCTGGCAAAGATGTTTATCTACTGTGAAGCTATTTGTCCTCCACAATGAAAGGACAACAAAAGGGATGATGGATCAATCTCCAGACACGTATTGATTCATTTTTTCTGTCAATCATGTGCAATATCTCAAGAGGTTGTTGATTGAATTACAATAAAACTTTTACCCCAGAAAATCAGTGTTTTGCTAATCACGCCAGTGGGCACTGTTGCTGTGGGCTACAAATACAGGTCAACGTAAAGGGATATAAGTCTGTAATTGGCTGTGATTGAGATTGTTCATAGTAATGCTATCGCTTTGTTATGCACAAATTACTACGGACCCTATTAGTACTGATAACAACTATGAAAAGGCTGATAGTAATGAGGTCATTATCAAAAGGATACACTAATTGAAGAGTATATTTGGATGGATTAGAGCGGTCTGTCTGTGTGCGAGTGTGGGGGGTGGGGGGGGGGGGGTGCATGCGTACAAGAGAGGATAAAGATGCTAGATGAAGCATGTAACAGTATTTGTCATGTCTCCACGGGAGGTCCATTCCTCTGCACGCTCGGATCAACGGTTCTCTGGCTGCCTTTTGTAGACAAATGGATCATTTCAAACCCGAGGCTCTCTCTAGAATATTTAGCCTATTTACAAAAGCAAAAAAGGATTTGAAATCCATTTTTTTAGAACAGTGAGCTAGTGAAGCTTGTCCACCAAAGCAAATCAGCTCTTGTCTTTTTTCAAGGTAATACCCAATGCCCTGTGGCATTGCAACAATATCTCATTTTATCTCTTTTTTTATGGATGCAACTTTGACCCTAGACAGACAATATTTTTGCAGTTGTACTTTGAAAGGGCATTAGAGAAGAGAAAGACAGAGGAGGTTGAGGAGAGAGCAGCTGGCTAGAGGGATAGAAGGAGACAAAAACAGGAAGCAATGAGCGGGAGATGTATAGAAAGAAGTAGCGAGGGAATGAGTGCAGGAGAGAGGGATGAAAAGGGAGAGGAGAGGAAGAGCAGCGTGAGCAGCTCAAGGACGACCGCGGCCCCGTCTCAAATTCCGCCTCGCCAGTCGAATCCATAAGACCGACATAATGTTCCCCTCTGAATCCGCGGAACGTTTCACGTGTCAAGCGGGGAGATGGGTATCACATGGTGCACCGACTCACCCCCATCCGGTGAGGGCAGATGCTTACTGTATGGTTCAATGCCGAGAGGCCCGGAAAGTGGCTTATTGGAAGACGAAGCCAGGCAGAACTGGCCGGGGTGCAACAGAGAGGAATTCAAATATCCACCCTGAGATTTCCCATTAGGAATACGTTCCTGCACTCAAACATGATGTGTGTTTAGAGCAGCAGTGCATCGGGGTAAAAGTTGCATGTGCGTACTTCGTCTTTATCCTCTTCTACAAGGATCGCTGACCAAATAACAGAGTGCAAAAAGGAAAGCGGTCATGCTGTTCAGACATCCCACGCCTAAACGGCCAAACGGAGCAGAGCAGATCTGAGCGACAACAAGAGGGAAGAAAAGAAAGGGAAGAAAAGTGATGAACAGCGGGGGAAAAGTTGAAACCTCATTTTACCAAACACTTCCATGCTCAGCACTTTCTGCCCATTATTTGGAGATTACAAACACATTACAAACACGGTTCCCTCTTTACTCTAGTTCTATCTACCAAAGTGCCGCCTCCTCTTTTCGGTGATGAAGTTCAGTTTGGTATGAATGTACTTGTCAGACGTAATCTAGATAAACACCTTTAGTGAAGTGGTACGAGATGTTCTGTGTTCTGTTCTCATTGCAATCCGAAAAAAATACATTTATTGATTTGCTGCCAGTCAATATATCATCTGTTATTCACCATAATGCTGTTTGACCTTGTTTTTCAACAGAGCATACATGAACTACTCGAAGTACTCGTGGACCAAACTGAATGGCATGAAGATGTCTGTAGAAGGGAACAAGTGATGGGTGGAGTGGTTTCGGACACAGTTTGAAAAACATACGGTTGCTAGTAGCGACCACTGATGTATAGTATCTTCAGTAACACTTTAACTGGCGCAGTTAGCAACACACTTGCTTAGACAGCAAGTGTGTTGCTAATTTGACATTTCAGTTTGACTGGCATGGGTTCTACGATGCACACGCGCGTCTATTCTATACTGATAGCTAACCAGCTGGCTGTGACCCTTTCCCCCTCTGTGCTCCACTGCCTCCATATTGCCTGGACACCAGTAGAGCCTTTGCACAACGCTTCATTGGTTTAACACGCAACACGTAGTGGCACCGGCCAAATGGCGGCACAATCAATTGGTTTTTAATGCTTTGAATAGACCCGTGAGCTCTTGAAGCTAGCACGCTTGGGTAATTTGATGTTAGTCACCGAGCTGGTAGCCGGCTTTGGATGTGTGTGTGTGTGTGTGTGTGTGTGTGGGTGTGTAAGTGCATGTAACTGGTGGCGGGCGTGAGCGTGCGTCATAAAGGGAGCCAGATTGGAAGCTCTGATCCAGCGACGGCAGTGACAGCTGGGGTTAGCGACTAGCAGCCGTTTGGTGACAGAACTGGATCACAATGGGGACGGATCCGGCCACATGGCTACTTCTGGCATGACGGCATAATGAGATGTACACCAAAGAACAATGCACTGCCAATGGCTCCGAGAGGGGAGTGCTGTCAGGCAGCTTTACGGTCTGGTTGGGAACAACCAGTATGGACCACACATATGGTAGGAAACAGCACACGCAGTGCACACACATATGAATCATGAGCAGTTACGGGGACACAGACAATGAGGCTGTGCACATTCTATCAACCATAACACAACAAACTGCAGCTACCAGAAGAATAACAGAATGGAACAAACATGTAAATATCCAAATGAATTGGTGTTGTCCTGATGCTCAAACGCAGAGATATATTTGATATTTGATATGTATCTATGAAATCATGAAGTTAAGCTATCATTCACTTGGTAATAATGTCTTGTTGGGGAGCTAACTTTAAGTCCTGACAGCAAAGGGAAGAGAAAGTGAGTTAAGATACTCGCAGGACAGGCAAACTGAGTGGCTTAAAGGGCAGCTGTGTGTGTGTGTGTGTGTGTTGTGTGCATGTGTGTGGGGGCCTGGCTGGTGGCCTGCTGCCACCAGATTACATGTCCGCTGCCCCACAGCGGGAGCTGAAGTGAGATGGGCAGGACTGAGTGCAAAATGGCCACAGCTGGGAGCCCCGCTGGTCGAGCACTCCTGCAGTGAGGGAGTGAGTGCTGAGCCATCGGCTGGAGGGGCCAGTGTTTCCATATTTTATTATGTTGTTGACACTTTCTGGTGGCTTGAAACATATTTTTTTCAGTGAAAGTAGAAAGCTTATAGTGAATAGGTGCTTGCTTATTATTATTATTAAGAATTACTGTACTTAAATGCACCGTATCGTACTATAGCACCCTTTTACCATGTGCTTTACTCCACTGTAGGAATGACTCTCTATATTGTGGTGTAGCGCAGTCAGAGTAAGACATCCATGTAGCTAATTTGTGTCCGTAGAACAGCGAGACGATTTTAAGGAGTCAGATACGTGTGCCATTGTCTGGTTCAGTGCTTCGGGGGCCACAAAATGCCTCAAGCAAATGTTAAAGCCTCTGGCAGAAGGATTAACAAGCTCTAAGCGACTTAACAGGAACACTCCTGAAGCTAGGATCAGTTAAAGCCCAACCTTAAAACAATTTACCAAACCACTGTTAGTTGCTACAATATTAGGAAAGAAAATCTGGGATGTATTCCAAACAACGCTGCTGGTAGGTTTCAGGAAACATGGATCTGAAGTCTAAGGCCGTTTAAAAACTCTTTAAAAACATTCTCGTCTGACTTGTAACTTAAAAAGTCTAATCTAATTTCACTAGTATTCAAAGATGGTTTCAACACTGAAGAAAATACAAAATAACTCATTAGTGTGGACATTATTTGCAGACAGGCCGCGGAATCAAAACTATATTATGGACTCCCAGAAACAAAATCGAAATGATAATTTTTCCTCTCTGCTGTCTGGGGCCGTAACCCCGAGCAACAGTCTACAGGCGTCTGTATTGTGTCTGGTAAATTGTACTGAGTTGCTTCCTGGCATGTCCAACACCAATAAACTCCTGACCCCAAAAATGAAAACCCACTGTGTTTGTACAGGACAGATGGAAACATGTGGTTATCAGAATGGCATAATATACCTTTACAGCACTTGGAGGACAAAGTGGTGCGATCATTTAACTACAAGAAGAAGTTTTCACGTGATACGCTCATGGTATGTACACGTATGCATTTTAGCAGGGGAAGAATGTGGTTTTCCCGTACAGAATCTATTTTCTGGTCACTTGTATGGCTCTGAATATAAAATCGGCCTAGTTGTAAACAACTTTTAGCACAGACGTGAAATATACTTCTTTTAACAAGTTCCTCCTAAAGCCTTTCAACAACTCTGGCCAAAGGATTCAGCGGGAGAAGCGGAGGTACAGGTGGGCCCCAAAGGGGTGAACGGTGAAGTACTTACTGTAGGTTGCATAACATATTGTTGATGAGGCATCCATGACGTACTCTGGACCTGAGGAGGAACACAGAAAGTGTGAAATGATATAACTTCTCAGATCCAAGCTGTATCCCACATAAAGCAATAAACACTGTTCAAACATTCACAATTTGTTAAAATATTCTCTGGTCTCAAAGTTTTAAAGCGATGGCATTAGTTTTAATGCACGAAAATGGCTGAACTTTACACAGATTAAGTCGTGCCAAAGAATTACAAAAAATAATTTGAAAGTCTGGAGGCAGCAGATCTTCCTCCTGCCTTCTCATAATTGCCAACAGTACGACTGGTGCACGGAGCACACAAATTAGGTTCCCTCTCTATTACAATAATATCCTTAATGCTGCACACAGTGCTTTTGCAGGAGGGGTCAAACATTGTGAAACGTTGCAGGAAGGACTTCTATAGAGGACCCATTTTAGAAGTCATGCTTACAGTTAACAGAAAAAAGAAATGCGTGGACAGAGCTTTTCTCTGTTTTCAGAGGTATGCAGGGCTATTACCAGAGGAACAAAAATAAAACATGCATATTCACAAACGTGGATGGGAAAATGAAAGAGATGGTGAAACAGTGACAGAGACAATGATCAAGGGACTGGAGTGAATGGAGGAACAAACAGAGCTTTTATATGTGCTGGAGAGAGGAATTAGACAGCTTGTAGCGGACAAACACACAGGCTGGCCACTGATCCTGGTAAAATGATTAGATTAAACAAAGACAAACACGGGATAATCTGCTATAAGAGCAATCAATCCTCTGTGCCAACCCAAACGCGTGATTTGGACGAACACCTAAACAAAGCTGGATATTCTACAACATGAAGCCAAGTCTGTTTGTTTATACATGGCAGTATTTGTTCTCCCCAGCAGAATGGGACAGCAGATATACGCAGAGAAAGCTGATCTTTAATCACATTATCTTCATGTGAGATGACGCATGACCATCATGTGATTTATTCAATTGACTCTGTCCTCCCCCAAGGCCCCTTTATGACTTTGGGCTGTCCCGGATCAATGTTGAGAAATGTGGGGAAATCTTTGGTTGGTCAATCAAAACCCCCCAGTTTGGGTTATTATGGGGGCTACTGGCAGCTAGGGGCGGGGCTTAGACGTGTGGAAGACGTCAGGTGACTGTCCGCTCTGAACATTGCACTGATTATTCCACTGACTCAACAAACATCTAGTGGGTCAATTTACCAGACATTCATTTCACCATCTGACATGCTTTAAAAGTCAAGCTGACAGATGGCCTAATCACAGTCGGCGGTTACCGATTGAATAGTTTACTACAATCACTGATAACCCGATATACGGAATCAGAATAGTTATACAACTTCTCGATTGTAAATGGTTGGCAGTCAGAACGTCTGCCTCCACACAATGGCAGGATTTGATTTGATTTGGTTTGTTGTGGAGGTCGGCGTATTTGGGTTGAAAGTTCAATTTTGTTTGACTTTTGCTGCAACACTTGACAGAGAAGCGGTGCAGTGTTTGCTACTTTGGCTCATGCCTGAGAGAGCGCAGCCGGATGGAAATGATGGTCCAATAAACAACAATATTGAATCAACCACACAGCCACAGGCAGAGAGCCGTCTTTACAGTATTGAATGTGGGGGGGTAACGGTTTTGATTGTATCCTGGCTTTGAGTCACGCAACGGATCAGCAGACAAAAAAACATCAGTATATTTTTGAGCCATTTTTGGCCGACGTGCAAATAGTCGTTTTATTCAAGTATGATTTTTTTTACCACCAGGCCAAAAAAGACAATAACAATATTAAAAACCGTACAGTTTAAATCACCCAAAAGATTTTTTATAATTATTTTGGTATACTGTAGTTGTTTATAGCATATATTTGGATAAAAATGTAAATTCCATAGTATTAGGAAATAAAAGATTTTGTTTTGTTGTTGATGTTAGGAAGTTATAATTCATCCAGCTTTTAAACGAATCACGATAATTCACGATTGCGGTAAAAGATATGTTCCTTGGCCCGATACACAGAGCTAGTTTAGTCTTAAACTTTAGTAAGTTTAGTAAAACTGCGTAAATGCATCATAATGAATGGAACATTTACTGTTCACAATGTGGGACTATCACGGGATTAAAAATATATCAGCCAATAATAAATGGAAAAACATTTGAATGGAAATTGCTATAAAAAAAGGCTCTTTGCTTGTACATTAAGTCGGAGCAGTTGTTCTCTACCTACAGCAGGCCCACTGTGATTGGTTATTATAATGCGCATGACCCCGAGAAGCCCCCCTACCTCAGGCTGAACTCCACAGCTTGTTTTACCCTTTAAAACAGCCTGTCAGCCGTTAAGTCCAAGAACAAACAGCCAGTCAGTCATTCAGCCAGTTGGCCACCGACCCGATCCAACCAGTCATCTAGGTAGCGAGCCAGCCAGCCACATATTTAGTCAGTCCGCAGAGCCAGTGATGTAGACCAGGCCACGGCTGGCTGGCGGCACCAGCTGAGATCTTGGTAGAGATCTGGCCTCGGCTGGCTCCCGTCATGTGGATCATCAAAGCTGTTTTTTTTTTTTTTTTCCAGGAAACAAAGCCGAGCCCACAGGAGGCTTGAAAGAACACCAGAACACGGCTGTTTGCCCGGTTCATTTGCAGATACGATAAATCAATGCCACCAAACTAGCAGCTGTGAGAGATATCCACTCGACATAAACATGAAAGGAGGAATGGCAGATACTGTCATTTCTATGCAGCTTGAGATTTTCATTACAAAGGCAGTAGTTCCCATCATGAAAGGGTGCGATTTCCTTTTGTGTCTCGTGTGTGCGCGGCTGCCTTCTCGTTTTGGTTCTCCTCTGTCTCTTTGTTCTCCAACAGAAGATGAAGGACTCACCTTCCTGCCGTGACTGGCTGAAGGGCAGCAGTACAGGAAGAGGTGGCGGCGCGGCCCCACATTGAAACCGCGAGGATTAATATTCCTCAAAAGCCTGGCCATTGTTTTTGATAAATCAATTTGGGAAGCCTTCCGAGAGCGGATTAGTGACGCGCCCTGGCCCACTTCCCCTCCTACTCCTCCTCACCCACCCCCTGCAGGTACTGGACCAGAGTTTTAATCAAGCGCGCCTCAAAGACGGGCACAGCAACCTTCAGCAACCCCCCGGCCCTGCACACCCCCTCCCCCCACCGCCAGTGTTACCACCCGTGCCATCCGCCCTCCCCTCCTTACTGCTCTCTCTCTCTCCATCTGTCCCTGCGGGTCTCCCCGTCTATCCCTCACCTCCTCCCTCGCGTTCACTCTCCTCGTCTGTCGGCCTCTGCATACCGAGCGCAGGCGACGTTAAGCGATAGTGCCTGAGCGAGAGGGCGCGGTGGCAGCGCCGCTTGATGCTTCGACGGGGCCCGGAAAGTGCGGTTAGCGCACTTGACGTCTCGCGCCGGCCAATTTTCACGTTCCCTTTCTGTTCTCTTTCATTACTCCACAGATCACAGCCGTGAGAAAAGTCGTGGAAAATTCTCTTCGGAAGAGGCGGCGGCTGAATCCAAGTTAGTAAAAAAAGAAAGAAAAACTACAACTTTCTTGCATTGGCAGCCGAGGGAGCACAGAAGAGGTCGAGCAACTGGGAGGGAGGAAAGTGTTGTTTTTCATATTTTAATTCATGTTGTGTAATTCTAGTTATTTATTTCCACCCTTCTTTTTTAACGCTCGTCTTCTGATGCCTGTTGTGTTTGCCGCCTACGAAACAGATGTCATCGAGCACAGCTGGAGTGGCGGAGACACGATGAGAGAACCTCACGCTGTTTTGCAGCCCGCCTCCTCCCTTCCATCCTCTTACACAAAACAACCTCCCTATTACACATACGCGGTCAACAATCTACCCATAATGCAGTGCATTATGGCCCACCTGATATGTGGAAACGGGCGAAGCAGCGATGAAGGGCGTGATGGAGGTCTGTGCAATCATGCGGTTGGTGGCGATGCTGTAAGGCGAGGAGTAGAACCTGAGAAGGGAGAGATAGGGAGGAGGTAAAGAGGAACGGAAGGGAAGGAGGAAAGGACACAGTTCACAGTACAATTAGTCAGATTCATAAAAGATATATAGACCAGAATGTAAGCATGACTTTTTGCTACCTCGATGCAAACAGTACAACGGGGTATTATCTAAGAACTATTCGTCTTGACTTTCTTTAGTCTTTAGTTTCTCTGTCTATAGAAGAAATATACACTTGCAAACTAGAGTGCACACACAACACCACTAACACACACACACACACACACTGTTGATTTATCTTGGAGCTTGTTCGGGGCAAACACATGGCTTTATATTGCATTTTGAACGCCACATAAAAGTTTCATGAAGTGTCTCATTGCGTTCCCAATTGAAAATTGGTGTTTTATCACATGACATTGAGCTTTGTCAACGTATAAAGTAGGTAGTGCTATTTCAATTTCCCCCCAACGTGGACTTGTGTTAAGGTTACACTGCACCGTGCTGCCTAGCCGGCTTTAAGAAGCATTCTTGTAGGCGCGTTGCATTTCGACAAACCGCAGAGAAGCGGGGTGGTTGGCTCTGCTACTTTATCTTATTGCTGTGGGTGTATTGCAACCGAATGGCAGCTGTGATCCACCGGGAGGCTCAGTCACCTGAGCAGAAGATCATATTACCGACCGTTGGGTTTGAAGATCCATTATATTTCAAGATGCTTCATATGCTCTTTATGTTATGCATTACATTGTTTCTTAATCCAAATGCCCGCACAAGCTCATGTGTGACACAAGCTCAAAAAACATACTTAACATCCTTTTATCAGCTTGATGCTACATAACGACCCAGCTGATATTCGTTACACGGAACCATCTGAAAAGCAGTTATTGGAAACTGGTAAAGGGCAGGCCCTTTCAACCGGTATGTGTTTGCATGAGCCATCTGCCAATTAAACTCTTTTAATTGAAGACTTTTTTCTTTCAATGAATGAATGCCCTCGAGTTGTGATATCATTCCTGCTAAATATCTTCAGAAACGCAATTGTCATTTTAAATGAACACTCAAAGTGCAACCAAGCCACGCCCAAAGCCACCCGTGGACCACCATATATACCCGTGGATGTTTGAACCAAGTGTAAGAAATATCCTCAAAACACGCTCACAAGAACGGACCGGATGTACGTATGTGTGAACGGACAGACAACACAAAAACATATTATCGCCAGTCGTGGCGGTCACTGTCGCGGAGGCACATAAATAATTGATTTTGCAGTTGCACATTTCTCTTTAAAACATACAGTAGCGAGGCTGTGAGACTCAAAACAACAAATAAGTAATACCGAAGCCACCAAGGGATGAAAATGGACTCTGAGATCCCCTTCATGCCTCTGCGTCATTAATCTGTATTTTGTTTTAATATCGGCAATTCCTCCTGTGCTTTATATATATATATAAATATAAATATATATATATATATATATGGCTAATTTGCATGTATATGCAATTTGCATCTCAATTGTATTGTAAATTCACTAAAACTAATTTGGAGTGCAGGCCTTCTACCCACAGGGACGTTCATCGGGGTCAGGTGCATTGTCAGCCGCCACAGCTGTTCTTCTCTGCGCTGTTTCTTTTGGCTTTGTAAAACTAGAGAGAAGTCCCGGGTGAGAGTCAGCACCTGGGAACCACAGACAATGGTTCTTTCCCTGAAACCTGTCGATTGCTGTGCCCGGGTTGGGAGTGTTTTGTGTCGCCAAAGGGAAGGTGTTGGAGGATCTCCGGGCAGGTGGGTGGATGCAGTGTCATCGGTAATGCAGGAGCTGCACCGGGCCGTATTAGGGGAGAAGGGGCTCAGCTGAAGGCAAAAGCTTTTCATTTTACCGATCGATCTACGCTCCAACCCTCACCTATGAGCTTTGGGTAGTCACCAAAAGAATCCATTAGCGGATACAAGCAGCCAAAAATGTCTTTCCTCCAAAGGGGGCTCCTTCTTAGAGACGAGGGAGGGAGCTCACACATCCAGAGGGAGCAGCTGCTCCTCTTCAATCAAAGGGAGCCAGTTGGTGTGGTTGGTGGAACTGATCAGGAGGCCTACACACTAGAAAAATACACACTCTATATATCTCGTCTGGCTGGGGAACACCTCAGAATACCCCTGGAGGAGCTGCAATACGCTGCAGGCGAGACTACCTCGCCGACACGACCTGGCCCTGAATAAACGGCCAAAAATGGATGGAGGGATAATCCAATGTATCCAGGAAGCAGTCTGTCAAATGTAAAGTGCCATTTCTGTTTTTCATTTTCCGTTGCATTTTTATTTTCTACTTTGCATTAATACATAAATTAAATTGACTATACACTTCTAAAATACTTGCTATCTGATTCATTTTATTATTTCTGTTTCCACATTGCATTAGCCTTTGAATAAAACTGACTTCTTTAACATTCTTGGCTACTTAATTCACCCTATTTCACTTTTTTCTGGAACATGTTCATTAGGCTTAACTTCTGGTGGAATATATTACGAGTGAATCATTCCTAACCCAGCAGGTCTGTTGCCTAACACAAATATCTGTGGGATAATAATTTGGCGGATTTCCAGCAGAAGGAGGCTTTTACTATGGCAGGCTGTGTGTAATGAGTGATGCTATTCATCCAGTTTTTTTTTTTTTGTGTGGTTGAGATTGACTCCAAGTCACCAGAGGATAAGTGGTTTAGGAAGCGGGGGATAAGGAGCTTCCTGTGAATGAGGCCAGAGAGGGGAGATAGAGGGGAGCCTCAACGCCCTCCTTCCGGCCGCAGCGCAGAGGGGGAAAATAAAACAGGTTGCCGAGTCATTTATCCACAGCAGCATTAAGTCATGGCACAAAGACACAGGAACGCGTGCACACACACACACACACACACACACACACACACACAAAGAGACAAACAAAGTCACTCAGGTACGCTTTGCCATTTCTCACCCGACACAACCGATGGAAACCAAATATTTGAAGTCCATATACATTTTCCTAATCAAACAGTAACAAAGTGCAGCCTCTACATTCATCTTCATGTACGGCAGTTGTATTGACTGGGGCCCTATGAGCCAACGGTTTATTAGAAGGTGCCAAGGATGGAATGACTGTCGAACTCTTACCCGTTCTGCATTGCAGCCGGATCATATGTTAACGCCATGCCAGTCTGAAAGAGAGAAAAACAATGACATGCAGGATTAATCAGAGAGTTGTATAATAAATACTAATGAGTGATACGAACCTGACACAAAAAAAGCCTTTTTTTGTCTGTATTTTACTTCTAACCAATATGAGAGTATCTCAAGAATTATTTTTATTATTATTACAATTTTCTGTTCTTCTCAGAGTTGAATGAGAAGATTTATATCTTTTTACATTTAGTTTTTTGTATTTGTGGACTTATCTTGTATGCAACAAAACAAATAAGAGTATTTCCCAAATTATCTGCTATTCCTTAAAGTCAGACAGTTGTGCAGGACAAACTCAAACGAGGAGCCAGAAATCCTTTTTTTAGTCACCACATTTAAGTAGGCAGTCCTTTATCAGGAAGCCTCAATGTGTTGGTCTAAATGGTATTGGACAGGTGCATGTACACTAGACCGCATTCATCCTGGTGTTATTTGATTCCAGTTATGTTCAATACGTTTCCAGAAAATCTGTCGATATGTTCCAGCATCAATGTCACCCACATAATTTGACGCACCTTTATTGTACTTTGGGTATAATCTGATTTATATCCCAATTCTCTTTGTTCAAAATAAATCTAATCACATTCATCTCATTTTCAAATTGGAAAAACTGACAAGTAGCAAAGCCAATGTGGAGCGAAGCGCCATCAATAGGACGAAGTGAATTGGCATTGAGGACGCCTCTTTCTATTTCAATCACGTACGATCATGTATTTATGAATGAGGGGAAATGAAGAAGTGCCCTTTGGAAAGAAAAGGAGTGAGCAGGAAACGGAGTTCTTTGTCTGCAGAAGGTATGTGTGTGTGTGTGTGTGTGTGTGTGTGTGTGTGTGTGTGTGTGTGAGTGTGAGTGTGTGCGGCCCTCTTAGAGTCCAGGAGAGAGACCAGTGCGCCGCAATCCGTCATCTGCATTCTTGAAGGTTCTCTCCCGGAGGAGAGTTAATCCGATTTCTTTTACCGGTAGGCTGCTGAGGATGGCAGATTTCAACGGCGCGCACACACACACGCGCACGCACATCGCGTACACACACTCTCGTTTTGGTTGCCCTTCCCTTCTCTCACTTTGCCCCCCCCCACACTCTCTTTTCTTCCTCCATCATCTTGTGTTCTCCTCCTTTCTCTCTTTACCTTCCGTCTTCATCCCTCATCTCTTAATCTACCCTCCTCTTCTTTTCTTTTGCCCTTGTTCCTCCAGAGGGGCTTCCTACACTGAGCTATACTGTTAAATTAAGGGAAGAGCAACTCAGAGGAGCGAGGGTGGGGGGGGGGTGCGGGGGCGATCAGGGAGCCTGGGCCCAGACCTACGACAGTGAGCAATAGCAGATAATCTATACCGGACGAACGGGGATGTGTGTGTGTGTGTGCGCATAGTTTTAAAAAAGCCTTTCAGAGGAATTCTATGTCAAGCCAGAAAAGGCCGGATAAAGGAACAGCGGCGCTGTATTTAAAAATCCACTACTTTGTGGCTTTTCACCTTCAGCGTTCAAACGTCCCTGTCTGTGAGTGTGCAAAAGCCTTCGTATTTATATACCGGCTTTAAACTAAATGTGACATCAAGGCTGCATGTTTGCATGTGTTCACATAGCGGTGGCAGGCATGGCCGCCGCTCCCTTAAGTGCTGCTGTTGTGATGGATGCCACAGCAGAGAGAGCTGCAAGGCCGGTGACTGATGCACTGAGCCTCTTGCTCTGCCTCAGCAAGTAGACAGGAGAAGACAGAGACGGTTCATGAATGTTTGGGTTTTCGCAGCTTGATTTAAAGGCGGAAACTCCCCCAACTTGAGACTGTACAGATCCAGCAAACAAAGCTGGTCCCTCGTTAAGAGAACGAGCTAAAGATACGTACTTTCTCACCTCGTGCAGTATATATGATGATCTGACACCGTCTATGCTCACGTCTGTGAAACATTATGAAAATGTGTAATCGGCTCTTTTGAATCATTCATATTCACAATGCTTTGTGACAATTATTCATAACACGTTACAAAGAACTATCACACCGACAATTTTCCTTTTTTGCGAGGATCAAGCTTTTCTAATTCTATTTTCTAATTCATACACATGTACTCTTTATATAATGTCAGTTTAGGTTACTCTAAGTGTGCATTGTTTATTGGATAAATCTTAAGGTAATTTACAGTCAAAGTAAAACATTTCAAAAGCTACAAAATATTATAATGTTTATGTATTGTAATGTATGTAACAAAAGGCAGGACTTCTTGAAGTCAAACATTAATTCAAGCTCTGAACTAGTGAATAATAATTTTGCATTCATATATTTTCATCTGTGCTCTTGAGTATACAAGATTCATTTTGTCTTGTCTAATGCATTTTCAATTCAAATGCAAATTAATTTTACCATATTAATAGAGCTGCAAAACACGTGTTTGCGTGTTAGCATTCCATTTGTTTAACACACACACGCCCTAACAAAGGTTGGCTGAGGAAAGCAGGTATCACGCTGAGCCCTCATCTCTCACACACACACACACACACACAAGCATATGTCATAGCATAGGCTTCCACACTGAATGGAAAGCCGGATGTTTTTTTCATCTTCATTCATCCCCCTGGAGTAGGCGCTTGAGAAGTGTGACTTTGAAACCTTTTGTGTGTAAGAGAATGTGTTGGAAAAGGACAGCGGGAATGTGAAAAGATAGAAAGAGAGAGAGAAAGAATGAACGCCCATGGTGTTTACGTGTGTGTGTCTGCGTGCGGTGTAGAAAAATGCAGTGACTAATAAGTAAGTCAACATGAGAAACAGCGCGTTCCATACTCCCACTTTGGGTAGTTTACAAGATAATCTGTCATATCTATTTCTCAGTCCTCACCATCAGCCCGCCCTGCAGCACTCAACCCCTTGTAACTCCTGACTGATCGGCAATGTGTTCCCTCTCCCTCTACTTCTCTTAGTCTCTCACTCACTCCGGATGTTGATGTGGGATCTGGGAAGACTTAAAACGCGGCGGATAAGAGAGAAAGAGAAACGGAGGAGAGAAAGAAGCAAAAGCCAAGAGGCAAAGAGATTGTGGACACTGTAGAGATGGAGAGACAAAAGGTAGAGAGAGAGAGAGAGAGAGAGAGAGAGAGAGAGAGAGAGAGAGAGAGAGAGAGAGAGAGAGAGAGAGAGAGACATGGCTGCTTTCCCCTTCATCTGCCTGCCATGGGGAGGGAGGTGAGGAATGGCCTCAGCTCTGATAAACGGACTAGCAGTTGATGCCCATCTTCCATCTCCCCCTGCCCGGCCTGCACAGCTGATCAATGACCACAAGGTTGCACTCTCACTCTCACACTCACACACACACACACACACACACACACACACACTCTTCTTTTTGCCTTCTCCAGCCGAGCTTTTCTCAGAAAAAGGACATTGAGTAGTTTGGTAGCTCAGCTAATTAGCATGTTGACGGCCAAGATTCTAAGAATGCTTATTAATACCTACAAATACCAATGTACATATATTGTATATCAAGTCAAGTCAAACTAGATTGATATATGTTAATATGTTTGATATGACTCTGTACATTTATGGCCAACACATGTTTGTAATGACAAAGCCAAGATTTCAGTCACCAGAACTTCAGCGGTACGAATCCCTGAGCTCATAATGACATCAAATGGAGCACACGTGTGCTGTTTAAAACACGCCCACATGGGAGATCCTGTTCCCCAAACACGGATGATGAATCAATACAACCATTTAGAAAGCCTTGCAGAAGAAGCATCAGAATGGTCGTCGGTGTCAGCCAGGATGATTTAAGTATTTCAGAAACTGCTGATTGAGTGATTTTCCCGCCACAACTCTTAAGTAGTAGTAGAGTGGATGTGATCACAAAATAAATGATGTTTCTCCTTGAAGGAGAATCAAATTACTATTAGTAGATCTGTGTGACACTGTTTAATATACAGTGAAGTGGTCGAGAGTAAATACAATAATCTCACTTTACCTCCAGTCAACTGAGCTGACCCTGTTACTGTGTGTTAGCCTGTGAGGAGATGTGGCAATAGAATTTAGGTTAAACACGCTTCGCTGGCTTACAGCTGTTGGCTGAACATGTGATAGACAGACAGATACACACAAGCACGCATGGCTAGCGCAATACTCCACCAGCGCCATCACAACCCACACACACACACACACACACACACACACACACAGCCAGAGCATGTGTTTTGAAGGACAAACATTTCATCTCTCCTGGTTTCATCTACTTTGCAGTTTCAGCACAACTGTCAGCCTCACTAAATGTGTGTGTGTGTGTGTGTGTTCCCTCTATACTATATAGTCTAGTCTGAAGGACTCCTCCACCCGTCTCCTCTGTGTGTCCTTCCCAGTATAGCTGGTTGGTAGCCCACAGCATGAGACTTTAAGCTCGCCTCCACGTGTTGCTGATGAATATGTTAGCGTAGCGCTGTATCCAATTCCAGCTTTCTGATGTATGGACGGAGTATACGTGTTCAGTGAGGCGTTCGGCTTGAGATGCAATTTAGGTGACAGCGCTATACATCCGGGGGCAGTTTGATCGATATCTGGGGGTTTCTTTTTCTTACGGCTCCATAGCTTAGAGTAAATACAAATGACAGGCAGTAATAGTTTACATGAAGCCAGGTGTTGGCAACATCTCAAGTGGCCTTGGGAGTGAGGTGGGCTTGTTATTCGACAACCATTACCTCAGAGATGAATGCCTGGTCGGGAATCACCTTGTCATGATGGAATGGAAAGAGTTTGCCCCTTCCTACATCTACTAGCGATTAATTCTTAAAAAACAAGTGTTGTAATGATGTAAAAAAGTGTTGTTTCACGTGTCTAATAGCTAGAGAGCAAAGGCAGGAGTTAGGATGTGGCTGAAAGCTCAGGATTAATCACATAAAGGGAGTTTTGACATTACGACAGTTTTGTTGAATCGTGAATGATTGTTTTCCCTTGATGATCCATTTTTGATCAGGTGCACCTCTTCAAGAATTTCAGGATCTAGTACGCGGTGAGATCGCGTTGAGGGACGACGGCTCATGCATTGGTGCAACACCGTAAATGGTAAAAGGACTTTTCGCATAGCGCCTCCTTATGTTTCTCCCAATCACTCGAGGCGTGCTACACTCTACACACTGCAAGTAGCTCATCAAACTAATATCTGTTCACAGCCTACGGGAGAAATTCAGGTTTATGCCCACGGGACCCCTTCCCCCCCGAGCCACGGTTGCCCTTACTCGTCTTACCTCGCCTTCTCTGTGCCACGGCCTCCCGTTCTGAGGGTACTTGCTCTGGCTCTGGCGTTTCTTCTGCCCTCCGTCGGCAAATTTGCACAGCAAAGGCTCCGTGGGAGCTGCAGAAAGAGAGGCGGAGAGAGAGAAAGAGGACACAATCATATTAGGAGGACTGCATCCTGTGACCCATCAGAGAGCCAGGGGGCCCTTTAAACTAGGTCTTCTACATTGCATCTCTAACCCCCCTGCCCCCACCTCTCCTCCCTCCTATGGAGCTCCTAGAAAAATTCCCAGAGCTACGATGTTGGCAGGTTACCCTCGCTCCCCCCCCGGGCCAGGCTGGCAGCCCATGAAGGAGCATTGCAGGGTATTGTTGAAATAATAATCACAGTAATCGCTCTCGTAAATACCTCTGAGATGGTAATGCAGGGCCGCTCCGTCAGCCCGAGCTTTTCTTTTTTTCTCTAGAAGGCGTTTCCTGACCTGTAATCGCTCCGTGTTTCACTTTAACAGGCATTTTCTCTTCTAATTGAAATGTTATGCCTCCCCCCCTCCTCCCCCCCCCCCCTCACTCCACAAGCATCAGTGCAAGCGTCTCACTGGACACTGTTGTTCAGGCAGCGGCTGCCACAGATAGTAACCGCTCTGTTCTATCAGGGAACACTGGGGGCGACACGGGTTTGAATCATGTGCCATCGCTACGGCGCCGGCAAGAGTCTCATATCAGCCGGCAGGAAAAGTGACGTGAAATAGCTGTTATTGATCTAATGAATGCAATATTAAAAGGCACTCTTCACTGCGACCTCTTCTGTATGAACAGCCTTTTGTACGCGTGATTGCTGATAACAGGTTGATGAAAGCGATGCAACGACCTACGGCGAGAACTTCTCAAAGGGACCTTTCTCACATTAGAGGTGCAGGTGAGCCCCAAACCGCGACAAAAATGGAACTCAGGTAGAGGGGTCTCCTGGTGAGAAAATGGCAAAAACGATGAAAGAAAGGCTCCTTGAAAGAAGAGAGTGAAAGGGGGAGGGTGGGGGTGGAAGGCAGATAAATAAAAAAAGCTTTTCTCATGAGAAACGGTGGGCTCTCTTGGCTGGGGATCTGGGGGCCTTAACATTGTCCGTCCCCCTTTCAGTTTGCGTCAGGCGAGATCGCAATCTCTTCGGAGGCAGACTGTGCAGAGATCAGAGAGGGGAATGAAGGCAGTTGGACCAACTAAAAGAAACGCCGCCGGTACGGAGAGGGTGAGAGAAACATGCTAGAAAAAAAAAAGAGAAACGGATAACGAGAACAGGTGAACGACCGTGGGAGAATTGAGAATCTACATCGGGATCAAACGCTCCCGACAGCCCAGCGACGGCCGGACACACGCCGGGCCCGGCCAGCTTGTCCAAGCACCTGAACCACCGCTGCTTTGCACCTGGCGGCTCAGAGGAGGGACCCGACGGGGGCGTCCTGTCAACACGTTTGCATTACACGCGACGGACTGACGGGACCTTTCATCGGCGCCCGCGCTGGAGACGGCACCCACCGCGAGCACCGACGACGGGTTAATCTCCGCTGCCGGATGTTTTCGGCTCGCTTGGGCCTCGATAACACTGCAGCGTCACAGGGACGGGGAGAAAGACGCGGTGTCGGGACTGACCAGGTAGTGAGTGACGGACGGTGTTCCAGCTCAAAGGAATAATTGGGCGCGTTAACGGAGCTGACGTGATCATGTGTCTGTTCATTTACATTTTCTGCCACATTGTTGAGAATTCATTTTTAATTGCACTGTCTGAGAGGATTGTGGCACAAACAAACTCCTAGGAAAAAAACAAAACAGAAACTTAAAATGTGTTTATGTGGCTTGAGGGGCTTCAGCGGGACCAAACTTCTCAGAGTCAGCCCAGGAGAATGTAACCGGGGAGGGAGAGCGAGAGAGACGCTGCAGAAGAAAAACAACAAAAGCTCTTCCAAACCTCTCCTCTGGCACTCTGGGAGATAATTAGCTATCGGAGAGATTTGCCGAATCCGACACGGAGCACGGTGACGTTACCCCCGTGAGTGCCTCCCCAGTTCCCACAGCGAGCCGGCCAATTTGTTTAAGACTCCGGCCCAAGATCAACAGCCTCATAGCGCCCCGCCCGCCCTGTGATCACACTCACCCCTCCGTAGCCCCGGCACAAACGCACGCACACACCCTTAAAGCTGCTACGGCCACGGAAAGCATGCTGAGATACCCACAAACACACGATGCTAACTGCTGCCAGCTTCTAAACCTTCTCAGACCTCTCGCCATACACCGTCACCACTGGCACAGCACACAATAAACTGGGCCACTGAATGTTCTTACTAGCATGCTGAGGCTGCGTCTTTGGGAAACAGGGTCCAAGTACAACACATTGCACACTGGCAGCAGTGTGGTAGGAGGCTGCTTGAAAAAAAAAATGAAAAAAGGCTGCCTTTTGAACCTATTTGCTGTCCTTAATGGTTCTAAATCGTGGGAAAAACACGTAAAGTGCTTTTGGTCAGAGGTTAATAACTGCGGTAACAATGTTTTTTATGTGGGTGCTGTAGAAACTGTCAAACACGTTAATGAGGGAAGACGGCGGACATGCAGTACGCGCATGGATGTGCCAGCAAAATGGAACTAGAAGAAGGGCGCTAGACAGTTCAGCTAGAGGAAGGTGCCTCGCGTGCTCACAGCCTCGGCTTAATCCCACCCCACACTGTGCGTTTGGCTGTAAAGAGATGCGCCTGGCTTTCTGCTCATCAATAGGCACAGAAGCACCAAATAAAATGAACCAATGAGTGCAAGCAGATGTAGTTCTTAAATTGAGTCTCGTTGGAGTCAAGTTTCTCTTCTGTGTGCGGCGTTGCATAAGCAATCGCCACTTGTCGTTTCCTGTGGGCCGACATTCAGCCAAAATCTGCCCTTTTGTCTGCAGCCAGCGTGGCGAGAACACTCGATCCCACCGAGTGTCCGCCGTGTATGCCTCAGAAGTTATCATCTGCGAGTTGCGCGGACATTGCAATCATTCTGCGGCGTAGAATCGGGCTGCACATCTGTTTGGCCTTAATGGGGGAATCAATGCAGGAATGCCCCCGAGCAGCAGAAGTAGTGTGGTAAAGGCTTTCGTCAAAACAGCCGGCTTTTTCACTAGCGAGACAGTTACAAAAGAGGCTTGTCACAAGGGGCTTGGAGGCAGACTGGGCCGGCCTCGCTTTGGCTTTGCACAGACTGGTGTGTTGGCCAGTCTGTGCAAAGCCCTGAAGAGGGGCTGAAAAGAGGCAACTGTTCAGCCACTTGTACTTAAATATGTCAATCTGAAGGGCTTCGGAGCAAGGAAGCTTTCCACTTCTCAATGAAAACTTTGGTAAAAAGGTTCCAATGGGTTCCCCGGCCTGAAGTTTCCTGAGCTCTGAAAAGTCATCCGGGGGGCTCGATGCGTTTTACTGCAAGGACGTGTTAGGAGAGAACCGGCTGAAGGAGAAGTAGAAAGAGGAGAGTATTCTTATTGGAAATCTGCGGTGGTGTGACAGTGCTTGAGGGGGATCTTTAATTGGATCAACAACCGTCTGATTCCCATCAGCCAGCTTGACCTGTCAGCCCAGACGGAGGGGGCTGTGCCTTATGGGAGAAAAAAATAGAGCGGGAGGGACAGAAAGACAATCGACAGATGCGCGAGGAGGAAGGCGGCTCAAGGGACGGTGTTTTAGAAAAAGATAAAGACCAAGAAGCTACGATATAAAAAAACGTATTAGAGGTGCACAGGACCCAAACAGCGGAGCAGCGTATATGTCGCCATTTTCAGAGTTAAGTAGGCAAGCTCCGAATGGCCGCCAACCGGGAAAGCAGGGGGCAGCAAGTACTGCCCTGGGGGAGGGCTTTGACGGATCCCAGTCGATAGCTCTCACAGCTGCCACGCCGGCTCCCATCCTTCAGTGCGGAAATGAAGAAAGTCCGCCAGCCGCTCCGCTGACAGCGACGGCACACGTGGCTCAATGACACGCGGCGATAAATGGAGAGGGGGCGCCGGGAGGAGAGCGGGATAAAGAGGGAGAGCGAGACGGATGGAAAGGCGGATACCGTGTCATAGAGAGGCAAAAAAAGACGCGGTGAGACAGTGACGGAAAGAGACGCGGGAGAGGGGGGACTCGCCAGTGGCAGAAGTGACAGGCGCCGCACAGTTTGCCCCTTCTACAATCTATATGCTATATAGAGGAGTGAGGGAGATACGTATAAGGGGGAGGATGTCAGCAACGCCTGGCTTCTCACTCTGCATCCGCTACACATGCTCTACGGCTATTGATCAGCCTTTCCCATAGAAGGCCTCCTGCAGCACGCCAGCCGCTACCAGCCCGAGATGATATTATGGATTAGGGGAAAGGATGTGGAGGGAAGAGCCCTGGATGCGGGGGGTAGAAGCCTGATCGATGAGCTATTGCGCACTTAACAAGAGTAATGTTATGTAGGGAGTCTCTGACATGCTAATCCATCTCTCACTCTCTCGGTCCGTCTCCCTCGATTGCATCGCTCTCTGTCGTGGTTATGTGCAGAGGGGCCATCTCTCCCCTTATTTCGTATATCCATCTATCTATCCTTCCATCTATCCATCCACCTATGCACCCATCTCTCCATGCGCCGCTGAGCAGACCCAGATTCACTCAAATAAAGCTGATGGATGGGATGAGCTCCACGTCTAAAACGCGCTACTATTGACCGAGGCCACTCGTGGTGCTGCGAATGCAAAACACACAAGTTAGCATTCAGCCAGACCTGGAACACGCAGACATTCCTGTGAAATGGTCAGACGGATAAGGCGAAGAGCATTCTGCCGGAGTGCGGCTGGAAATATTTGAGCAGATAAAACGTATTGGTTGGGCCTCAGAGTACAGACTTCAGAATAAATGTGTGGGCATGGTGTGAGCTTTATCAGCTAAATCCACTTGTAGTTGCCGTGGTGAGAAAGCAAACGGCTAAAACCGCCAGCGCTGTGTGAGCGAGCGCGAGCTGCCGCATGCGAGTCGATTGATGAAGGTCACAAATCCTCATCCTTACATTGAAACAGCATTTGTACAAATGCACAGCCCTCGCCGCATTCATTCCAAATTGCATGGTTTTGTGTGGCTG